CTCCTCCTCCTCCTCCTCCTCCTCCTCCACTCACCGAGTTGGACCCGGGGAAGTCGTATCCTCCCATCACCTTCATGTAGGCTTTCTCTATCAGAGACACCCACAGCTCGTTCCTGTTGCTGGAGTACGAGCACAGCAGCTCCCCGTTACGGTCCACCGGCAGGAAGTCGTCTATGATCACCTGCGGGAGGGGAACAATTAAATAAATGATCATAAAGACGTAAAGGCCCCCGATTATACTGTTTTTCATCAGTGTATTACAGGTCTCAGACACACAACCTGTCTCTGAAGTGTTTTTACCTTCCTGGGGACGCCGTTGATGTGAAGCTTCACCATGTACTTCCCACAGGGATTATACTCCGGCTCCCCGCGTCTGTTCTGAGGGTAGATGACACTGAAACACACACACAGATATTAAATACACAGCGCTCAAGGTTCCAAATATAATAATAAAGGATCTGTTGCAGATGAGATGTTTTAATGAATGTACATGTAGATGTTTTGTTGTTTTTGTGTGGATCTTGTACGGCGACCTTCAGAGCTTTCAAAGGCACCTATAGCAATAAAATGTATCATCACTATTACAAAAATATCCCAATTTGGGATCAATAAAGTACCTCTTATCTTATCTTATCTTACTGTAGCAGTTTTAAGGACTCAAACACACTAATAACTTTCAAAATATTCCCAATAACTTTTGATGCATTTCTGTCTCATGATGAACAGTAACGCACACGAAATGTGTCAAGAGCCTTTTGTTTGTAACACCGTAGGGATGGAACATAAAAAATTGTATATTTCAGTTTTTGTGTGGTCTGACTTGGATTCATATTTAAAACTAAGAACAAAACAACACACACTACTGGCACTTCAAGTTAAGAACATGACATGTCTGCCTTAATAAAGCAGTACAACCACATCTCAAAACACTCTCTTGCACTATTGTATCTGTTTCATTTGTTCCATGTCCTCTATATATATTCATGTTGCACTGTTGGAGGAGTTTGTCATTGCCATATCTACACTGTAGCTGCTGAGCACACACAGTCCGTCTTAAGTCCGAACACTGAGGCAACAGGCCGTACCTGGTGATGAGTTTCTTGTTGTAGCGCCTCTCGTAAGCAGCACTGATGGCGAGCGACGCCACGAAGGAACAGTCGGACACCACCGTCTGCACGAAAAGAGGGTCACGTTCATTATCGGGTTAAAGTTCACTTTTTCATGTGTGTAACAGGGATAGAGCTGCTTATGAATAATGACAACATCCCTACATAGAGTTAGATAAAAAAACTAAGTAAAATATTTAACTGTGTTGGGATTTTGAAGCACTAAATGTCCTTTTTAATTCTGTATATTTGTTATTTTAACTTGGTCACATGATGGTCCTGATTTGTGATTTGCTGTGCCCCTCTGCTGCATGAACAACAACAACAACAACAACATGCGTACAGTTTACATGCAAAGGCCTGCCTTAGGAAAACACTGTTACTAAATAGGTTTAAAAACGGTGTGTCCCACTCTCTGTGGAATAAAATGCAATAATTTACAGCTGGAAAAAATCTGATCCCATTTGATTTTGTACCTGTTTTTATTGATTTATTTGTGTTCTGGTCTGAATGGTGAGGTTTTCAGAAAGTGGTGAACTACTCTGTGTCTTGAATTGTACTTTACATAAGATAAACTCAAAAAATGATTTGAAGCTGCAGGATATCAGGACATTTCTGCTCAAGATAAGCGCATTTATTACCTAAATTAAATGAAAAATCCTAGCCTTTCACTGCAAACTTTCCCAAAAGATATCTTTGAAATATGGAATATGTTGTTTTTTTGCACTTATGGGAACATTTAAAAGGGAAAAGGAGGAGCAGCATTTGGTGGATTGTGTACTGTACGTGTTTAAAAAACAGCGTCCTCTATCTCCAGCCGTGACTCTGACCTGTTTGATGCTGAAGCTGGACACGGACATGATCATGGTCGGGTTGTTGCAGAGCTCGTCTGGCCGCACCCAGCGAGAGAAGATGGCTTTCTGTTTGGGAGACAGCGCCAGTTTCCCTAATTTGTCCCTGGTAAGAAAAAAATACAATAAACAAGAGTTCTTTTGACTAATTATTCAGATTTGTGTCCATCCATCACACCAGGACTAAAGCTGCTGATATTTAATTTACATTATTTAATTTCATATTCTGTTGATATATGATGTATAGACTTTTTGGACTACTTTTAATTTTGTATTTTTGTATTTTATGCTGTCAAAATTATCGCGTTAACGGCGGTAATTAATTTTTTGAATTAATTGCGTTCAAATATTTAACGCATTTAACGCATGTGCTGAACGGCCCGCCCCATACATGCCACCAGTGGCAGCGCCAGGGTATGGCTGGGGTAGGCTACACCCATACCAATAAATGGCTTAGCCCCACCATGAAAAATGATTTAAAAAAAATAAAGTCTGCCAACTCGCGCGGAGTAAATTCCACAGACAGCGGTTAGTCAGATTGATTTCAGTAGCCACTTGTCTGGAAATACCGAAGACTAGAAACGGTTTTGAAAACCTTTGTCACGTAGTGATCGTCTTCTCAATAGAACATCTTTGATAATGTCTTCTGGCCAATCAGAATCAAGATAACGGCGTGGTGTTGTTGCGGGAAGTCCCGACGGAGAATACTTTTGCTGTAGTACAGGGGTGCACATAACTGGTACGCAGGTTTTGTGCGTAATCTCTCTGAAATGCGTACCGTCACTTGTGTCACAAAACGCATTTGCGTACCGACGTACTTGTGAAGCTTTTCCAGAAGGCGGTTAGATCACCGGACGACAGAGTCGGTCTCCGTGTGCACAGACAGGGCTGCTGTTAACGTCGGTCTGTACAACGGAATTGTGCCAAAACTACGCCAACTGGCTGCGTAGGGAGACTTCCCCCCCTTCACTGGAGAACTGCGCTAAAACAGCTGATCACAACAAAGTACTCCACTAGCCCCCCCCCCCCCTCTGTCGACTTTCCTGAAGTACTCCCCCGTTGATAGAAATCAACACGTAATGAATTAAGACCCCACGGTTTGATGATTGATAGGTGTGTGGGCTGTCTTTCATTTTGACACAGAGAAAAATGTTATAATAAACATAGATACTGTATGTTAAATGGGATATATCCACCTTCTTTCATTTATCTTTCCATTCCCACAACAATATACATAAAGAAATGGCATATTTTGGACATAGTTAGAATGGTAATTAATCTGATTAATACATTTTTAAGCTGTGATTAATCTGATTAAAAAATGTATTCGTTTGACAGCCCATTACATATGTTGCATTGGTGGAGGAGCTCAGGTCAGAAGAATGTCATTGGCATTTCTACACTGTAGCTTTGTGCACATGACAATAAAACCTTTGAATTCAGTTCATATGTACTGTAGTGTTGTGTCCACCAATAATTTGTGGTAAAAGTCTTTAAAAACCACATCTAGACTTAAAAACAATCCTTTCTTGATCATTTTAGGCTTTCATCTCTTGTCAGTTTCATGAAACAGATGCACTGTTATTCCTACAAATGTATGAATTCACGCTGACTCCAATATGCATGCATCAGTACACAACTCCTTCCCTTTTTTTACGGTCAATTTCACCTTCTTCCTCGTGTCAAGTGAAGCATTACGTCAATAAACAGCCATTCAAATCACCAACATAGTGTTCTATATTTGGCGCTTTCACACCGGAGTACTTTTCCCAGGAATAGTTCCGATAGTTCCTGGGATTTTGCGTTCACACCAAAAACATCTGGAACTAGAACTTTTTTTTACGAACCTTTTCACCCCCCGAATTGCAAACCACGCCTCGTAAAACTCTGAAAAGTTTTGTGAAGCCGCCATTGTATTTGCTGGCATTAGCATTATTAGCATTATTAGCATTAGCCCCGCGCACCAACGGAGAGAGAATAACGTATGGCAACACAAAATAAAACATGGGAGCGGTGGAGATGAGGAGGTGTCGGCGTTCTGGTGATTTACTCGAAGCCTTCCCCAACTCCGGGGACTTCCGGCCGGGGACTTTGGGTGGCAGTATACACCGTGAAGTTGTTTGCGGCCTGCCAGTAAACCCATAGCAGAAGAAGAAGAAGTCACGTCAGCGGCTTCATTTGCCTAATCCTCCCTCAGGGAACTTATTCCGGTGTGAATGCGATCTGTACTAAGACAGTTCCAGGGACTGAAGAGTTCGGGGGGAACAACTACTGGGAACTAACATACGGCAAAGTACTTGGTGTGAAAGCGGCTATTATGTCTGAAATTGAGACCATGCCAACTGTATGTAAAGAGACAATAAAATAACAAATCTACACAATAATGCCATTTAAGGTGCTTCTCATTAAAGCTACTATGGTTTATAATTTGCCCTTTAATGAGTTTTGCACTAAACAGTGCTAAGATAGATAAGGAGTCACTTTAATCAAAATGGATGAGGAATTTTTTTACATTTTCCTTCAATGCTTCAGGTGTTTGTTCAGGGAAATAAATACGAATGTTACGTCAATCCTTAACTGGCTTGTGGAATGGCATATAACGACAAACATTAGCTTTAATAAATAGGAAATTAAATATGAAATGAAGGAAACTCACGAGAAAGGGACCGGAAAGGCGAACCGCTCCCTCAGGTCGACGCTCATGAAGGGAACATAGGCGATGCCGTTGATGGTAGACGTACTCCTGGAAATTAAGAAGGAGAATATTAGATTTTTTTTTAAATGCTCTTGTAGATGAATGTGCATCGTCCCTTCTTATATAAATACAACTTTAGAAAATAATAAGTGTATAGTAGATACTTCAATCATCCTGTCGTGCGTGGGTCTATGTTAAGAACCGGTAGACACCTTTAGATGTAATAATATCTAAATCCTTCTGCAGCAGTATCAGAGATCCACGACATTTAGTCAAAAAACTCCCCAAGCTGTGGATTAGACTTCGAGGGACTAACACAGGATTCATGTGGATTTCAGCTCTGCTTTGGAGACATCGATCGGACTTCCTAAGGTGCCGTGAGGAGGAGGCCGTGAGTAAACCAATTTATGAGATCGCTTCGTCAAACAATGCAATGACGGATGTGTCGCGGCTCACCTGAGCACCTCGATCTCCTGGCAGCTGTAGCGCTGGCCCTTGTATGTAAGGGCTTTTAATTGGGCGGATGTGCTTTATACACTTTTTAACACTCTTGAATCCCTCAAGAAATCTCTCAAAACTCATTTATTCGCTTTAGCTTTCAAACTCTGATCAACAACCCCTTCACATTATTATAATGTGCTTAAAGTGTGCTCACAGGATTGTTCTAAATCTAACACATTTACGTGATGAACTCAAGCACTCATGTAGATTAATGTTCTTTATTACATGGCTTAGTTGAATACTCGATTCTGATTGGTCAATTCAGAACACGTGACACGTTGTTAATCCAGAAGTACAGACTGCTGTCAAGGACTTATTGGACTGCCTACAGTTTGCTTTTCGAATTGTTTGCTTGACTTTAGTTTTCCGTTGTCTCCCGTCTGAGAGCAACATGGAGGATTTTAATATTCATTTTAATATATTTGGAGAGACATTATGGGCTATGAAACTATTTAAAGGCCGGCTGATTGAAAAAAAACAACCAACAGTTTGACAGCAACGGGGCAGAAACCCTTAACACGGAGCAACGGTCCAGACAGAGCCTGTCGGGTGTTCTTTTACCCATAATGACCGCCTCGCTGCACATTATCCCTTACATATCCCTTCTAAATGAATACAATTTTGGAAAATAAAAACTTTAATTGTACAGTTGATACTTCAATCATCCTGTCGTGCGTGGGTCTGTGTTAAGAACCGCTCGGCTCCTTTAGATGTAATAATATCTAATAATATCTAAATCTTCCTGCAGCAGTATCAGAGAGTACTCGGCTCTAGCTCACCTGAGCACCTCGATCTCCTCGCCGCTGTAGCGCTGGCCCGACGGCTCGCTGCTCTGCACGGCCCTCACCGGCTGCGGGACGCTCCTGGAGGCTGAAGTCCGGCCCGAGGGGGAAGAACTGCCGGGCCGGACCCCCAGAAGAGGAGCTGCTGCTGGGGGGGGGTTTGGATCCAGGAGGGCCCGGTCGGTCCTGAGTGGGAGTGAGTTTGGACTGGGACTCTTTGAGACCCTCCGCCCTGACAGAACAGAGAAGAGGATCATTTTTATGTCGTTATTGATTTAAGACATTGAAAGAAACACAAAAAAACACCAATGCTTTTGTTAATAAACTGACATGACTTAATTTAAAGTGAATACAGTTAATTTTTAAATATTCTTATTTTTCATTAAATTCATTAAAGGCTCCTCGATAGGAATAAAGTCCTTCGGGTTTCCATTAAGATGACAGTAATGTTCTCCAAAGAGAAGTAGGAAGATCTCTCTCTGAGACACTGGCCCGAGTACAGTCATAAAGGAGTCATAAAGGAGGCATAAAGGAGTCATAAAGGAGTCATAAAGGAGGCACCTATTGATTACAACTATATTGTTTTAATTGAATCTGGAATATAAAGTCACTTTCAGTCTAGGGAAAAAAACAGAAATAATACACAAATCAATTATACTAAGTAGTTAAAGTAATATCTGGTTTATTTCTTATACATTCTTGGGATTGTTTGAGACCCTCCGCCCTGACAGAACAGAGAGAGAGAGGTTTATTTGTATGTCGTTATTGATTTAAGACATTGAAAGAAACACAAAAAAACAATGACAACCATGCTTTTGTTAATATATAAGAAAGACATCAACTGACATGACATCACTTGATTTAAAGTGAATACAGTCAACACAAATTCTGAGTGTTTATAGACTTAATGGTCATATTCATAAAGAAAAATGTATCAATAAAAAAAATGTAATACAAAAAAAAAAACTGTAATAAATGTTTTAAAATATAAATACTGTTCAAACAAATAATGGTAATATTGATAATTAGAAAAAAAGTATTCAAAAAGAAAAAACTGTTTGGAATATGGGAATATTAAGGCAAGTTTATTTATATAGCACTTTTCAACACAAGGCAATTCAAAGTACTTTTCAAAGTACTTTATTAGAACAACAAAAAGTATCCCGTGCATACTTGTCAACCCTCCTGATTTTCGCGGGAGACTCCCGATTTCATTGCCCTCTCCCGGTTTCCTCCCGGGGTCATATTTCTCCCGCATTTCTCCCGATTTCTGACTAAATCAGATTTACTCACGACTGTTTCCACTCTGACTTTAATACAGCTACACCATTGTTTGGTTTCCATGGTAACACGTCTCTTTAGCATACTCTTTAGTAGCGCGCGCAACTCAAAGTCTGAGAGGGTGAGGCAGATAGTCACAGAAAACAGAACAAGAATCGACAACTACTCGACTCTCTGCTCACCCCTTTCCTGTAAAATACAGGTCCAGCCCACACACATGCTCCAGCAAGGCATTGCACTTAGAACTACAATAAGCATGTTAATGTTAATCTAACAGCTCCGGCGACCCCCCCCCCCCCCAAGGCAAGTATCATCCCGTGTCTATCTGTAAAGTGCTGCTGTCGATCCAATCAATGTAAAGAGGGTTACACCTGGTACGTGGCATAACAATAACAAATGTGTGGGTGTTAAAAACCGACCCATCTGTCTTTGAGGGGAAACGTTTGGCTTGGAGAGTCCCGTTTACAATGAAGTAAATACAAAAGAGAAAAAGAAGAATATCCTTAAGAGACAAAACTATAGAAAAACAAAAGAAAAGAGAAAACAAAATCTAGAAAAGGGTGCATGAAAAATGTAAATCACGCTGCTTCTGAAACGCTTTGATGGCTGTGAAATATGCGATGTGATGTCAGGTGACTTTAAACAGGAAGTGCTTTACCTTTCTAAAGCTTGACGAGCCAGCTGCTTCAGTTTGATCTGCAGCGCCTGGTCCGAGGTCTCGTTCGACTACAAACACAGAAGAAGGGGATTGTTAGAGCCAGTATTTTGTTTTTATAAGAAAGGACACGTAGTTGTGACGTCTGTAGTCAACCAGAGTATAAAAGACTACAATAGACCTATCGCTAAACCACGCCCCAAATAGAATTTGTCCAATCATATCACAGCGAAAATCCCTCCTGACAGAAAACTCGGACATCACCAGAAAAGCCGTTTGTGGGGCGCATCAAACCAAAACCAGACGTCTGTGATCGAAACCACTGTGAAGAGTTCAGTTTCTATGTTTATTATCTAGCTAATATCTGATGGTGAAACGCTGTGCGTGGGGTACCTGTAATTTCGGACACCAGGTACCCTGAAAGACTGGATGGAGGAGTATATTTCGTACCTTTTCCGAAGCCCAAAAGAAAACTCGACAAATGCAAGCGGTGGATTATGCTGTGTCGTCAACCACATACACAACTGAATGTGACAATTATCAAGGACACTTATGTTTGCTCAAAGGTAAGGTCAATTCATAAAGACATAATATTTGACGGTATGTATTAGAAACGTAGACCAAACTATTAGTTTGCTAACGATTGACTTTGACTGCCAACTAGCTAGCGTATATCCAGCCCAGCTAGCTAACGTTAGCTGCCAACTTGTTAGCCAGCTAACTAGCTACAGTGTTATCAACATCAACGTTTGCTGTCTGACTTTTCGTCCTCGCTAGTTAGCTGGTGTTTTTAGCTAACTTTTGCTAACTGTCTTTTCACCTCAAAGCACTTCAGAGATGGGAAGCCAACTCTGGAATATCAGATCCCATCCGGGCTCTCGTGTGTGCTGCTCCGAAAAGACACAGACCCTCACCCAAAAAAAGGTAACGCTACAGTCAGCCAGGTGCATAACAGTGAAAATGATGACCAACAAGGACAGTTATAGTTATAGATTTAATGTAGTGACCACCACTGCTAACATTCAACATCATATTATCATTTCAATGGTTACACAACAGTCACTACTACATACGACAGGCAACAAGATTAGATATTTTATATAAAGAAATACATGGCTACCTTTTTACTCTTGCTTTTAACTGTTAACTTTCATCTGCTTTTGCTTTTATTAGCTCTTGCTTCTATTTTAATGTTATTTTAACTTGAACTCCCCCCGCGGCCATTGTCAAGAGTCATTCACGGTCGGCTTTGTTTGTCCGAGTTTTCAAAGGGGGCGTGGCTTAGCGATAGGTCTATTCCCACGGCGCCTCCTCTAAAGTGACAGTGATGGGCAACTTGTTAGAAAGAGGCTGTCGAGGAACAGTTTTTAACAGTTCAATTACCCTTTAAGTTATTAAGTTATATAAGCCTTGACAAGAAAGAGTTGTTATTTTATTTGAATTGTGACTATTGTAAAGGCATATTTTGTTATTTTATTTTGAGCAAACCCATCAAGTAATATCATCCAAACCATCGGAGCAACTCTTCAAACTGTAAGTAACACAAAGATAAAGGAAAGAAAACGAGTTAGAAATGTCTGATTAAAGGTCTCCTATAATATTGTTTTTCATCAATATATCACAGGTCTCAGATATATCCAGAGCCTGTCTCTGATTGGCTGAAACACCAAACAGATCATTGCAGCATTACCCATAATCCCCTCTGTTTCAGCCCTGTTTCCAAAGTGCTGATTCTCTGTTTGTTACTTTAGATCAGGGGTGCCCAACCTTTTTTGAACCGAGAGCTACTTTTAAAGTTGCCAGTCTGCTGAGATCTACCAGTCCAAATAGAGAGGCGTAGCCATTACTGACCAGGTAAACTACCAGGTAAATACACACTTCTACTTGTATAAAACTGACCTTTGTACGATTAATACTTCATAAAATACTGCAGATCCTTTATCTTACCTCTTTCTAATCTACACACATACAAGTATTTAACTGAAGTTACACAACAATGTTGTTGATACAGAGTTGGAGTTTATTCACACGTCACATACTACAGTGGGTAATGTTTTCAAGAAACATTGAACAGTGCTGCCACATATGACACAGGGAAACAAGAAAAGACTGAACCCTTTCTTTGACATTATATAAAAATAGTGTTGCTACAAAAGTAAAAATTAGGCTTACTAATAAGACAACTCAGATCTGAAGCTACACAGGAATCTGCTGCCAAAGTGCAATAAAAAAGACAACATTAATAGAATCAAACCCTTTTTTTGTTGCATTTTAGTAGATTATAAAAATAAATGCCTTTAAAATAGGATGCAAGCAACACTAGTTTCTTAACCTGAATTGATGATAGACTATAATCAATTTAAACAGAACAGATCTGAATGTTTGCATTCTTATACCATGTTGTACAATAATTATAATGAATAAGTTCAAACAAACTAAAACTTACAGCTGATTAATAACGGTATCTAACTTGAGTTTTTATTATATCAAAAACCTGTTGAAATGCTTCTGTTATTTTTACTGTCCCCAAAAGCGCGTCGGCAGCCTCCAGGAATGCTTCTTTCACAACTTCGCCGTCTTTGAAAGACTTCATGTGTTTCTCAAGAACGTGACTGACACGATAAGATGCTATGGTAGCAGCCTTGCTCTTGTTGTTGAGCCTGGTGAAAATGGACTGCTGTGCATTTAGCTGTGCTCTCAGGCCCCTCCCCTTTTGGAGCGTAGGGCAGAATCAGGAGTGAATTCCCGTCTCGTAGCGTTTGTGCACTGTTTTGAAATGCCGCTCCTAAATTACCCTTCTTCGATAAAGCCACGCTCGCATTGCAGATGAGACAGATGCACTTTGAATTGGAATAGATACAAAAATAATCATCCTCCCACTCGGAGTGAAAATTATATATGTTTTGCTTCTGCCATAATTGCGGTCTTGTGTGTGTGCGGACTGTCACTCCTGGTGTTGACACGGACAACGTTAGCGAACTAGTGCACACTGCCCACTGCTCACCAGCCACGGCCCGACACATGGGGTCACGCCGGCCAATCACAAAGCTTTGATGCGTTCAAGTGCATTATTCTGGCACAGGAAGATTATGTTATAGGACATTAACGATAAAACAGAATATTGTTGATCTATTTTTAGACACATCTCGCGATCGACTGGGAATCTCCCCGCGATCGACCGGTCGATCGCGATCGACTGGTTGGGCACCCCTGCTTTAGATGAAAATAAGGAGCCCCTCCCCACGCCCCTCTGAGAGAGATTTGGTTACAAAGAACTCAATGGTGCTCTAGGAGGAGATTCAGGTGATAAGGGGGGGGGGGGGGGTTACCTTGGTTGCTGATTGGCTAATGGTTACTCAAGACAACACATCGTTATGACATCATAAAGTGTCCAAAATCTGATCAGCTCATTTTCAGACAGGTTTTTATAGAAATTGATCAAAAAGAGAGAAAATATTTGTTCCTGAAACTTTCAGAGTCTCTTTCCACAGAGGGGACACATGTTGATGAAGAAGAGACATGAAGAAGAGGGGACACATGTTGATGTAGAAGAGACATGAAGAAGAGGGGACACATGTTGATGTAGAAGAGACATGAAGAAGAGGGGACACATGTTGATGAAGAAGAGACATGGAGAAGAGGGGACACATGTTGATGTAGAAGAGACATGAAGAAGAGGGGACACATGTTGATGTAGAAGAGACATGAAGAAGAGGGGACACATGTTGATGTAGAAGAGACATGAAGAAGAGGGGACACATGTTGATGTAGAAGAGACATGAAGAAGAGGGGACACATGTTGATGTAGAAGATACATGAAGAAGAGGGGACACATGTTGATGTAGAAGAGACATGAAGAAGAGGGGACACATGTTGATGAAGAAGAGACATGGAGAAGAGGGGACACATGTTGATGTAGAAGAGACATGAAGAAGAGGGGACACATGTTGATGTAGAAGAGACATGGAGAAGAGGGGACACATGTTGATATAGAAGAGACATGAAGAAGAGGGGACACATGTTGATGTAGAAGAGACATGAAGAAGAAGGGACACATGTTGATGTAGAAGAGACATGAAGAAGAGGGGACACATGTTGATGTAGAAGAGACATGAAGAAGAAGGGACACATGTTGATGTAGAAGAGACATGAAGAAGAGGGGACACATGTTGATGTAGAAGAGACATGGAGAAGAGGGGACACATGTTGATGTAGAAGAGACATGGGGAAGAGGGGACACATGTTGATGTAGAAGAGACATGAAGAAGAGGGGACACATGTGGATGTAGAAGAGACATGGAGAAGAGGGGACACATGTTGATGTAGAAGAGACATGGAGAAGAGGGGACACATGTTGATGGAGAAGAGACATGAAGAAGAGGGGACACATGTTGATGTAGAAGAGACATGAAGAAGAGGGGACACATGTTGATGAAGAAGAGACATGCAGAAGAGGGGACACATGTTGATGTAGAAGAGACATGAAGAAGAGGGGACACATGTTGATGTAGAAGAGACATGAAGAAGAGGGGACACATGTTGATGTAGAAGAGACATGAAGAAGAGGGGACACATGTTGATGTAGAAGAGACATGCAGAAGAGGGGACACATGTTGATGTAGAAGAGACATGAAGAAGAGGGGACACATGTTGAGAGAGATACCGTGTTAATGCACAGCTCCACAGCCTGAGTGTACAGCTCCACGGCTTCATCATCGTTCCCCTTCTCGTCTTCCTCGAAGGCCTGAGTGACCAGGAAGTGAGCGCGCTCCAGGTCCAAATGCTGCCGGGACTTCAGCGGGTCGCTCTTCTGGGCCTGGACTGGGGTCAAAGGTCAAAGAGATGGAGTGGTTAGGACGTAAAAAATACACAATCCTTCCTTCAGAGAGGTGTTGATTCAACTCTACGGTCATTTTGTGCTCGTGTTGAACTGGATTGTGTGACATTGTGAGGTTGTTTCTGATATTTTATTATCTTTAATTGTTGTTTATTATCTAAGAGGGTAGACTGATTTTGTTTAAAGAAGCCCTATTGTGTTTTTTGTGGTCTTCTCTTTCCTGTAGTGAGTTATATTTATAGGGTTTGGTTCATGTAAATGGTCTGCAAAGAGTAAAATCACAAAGCTTCCTCCACATTGTATGTGATAGGGTTAGAATTGGGACGTCTCTAAACAGTTAACCAATCAAAACAGAGCCGGCCAGCTAACCAATCAGAGCAGACTGGGCTCTGGCTTCAGACAGAGGGTGAAAAGAGGTGCTGCAGCACAGACAGTATGAGAACATTAAAGAGCTTTTTGAACATTAAAGCATGGAGACAGTAGAGACACTACATACTGATATACACCTGAACATCAGCAGGAGAGGACTCTTTAAAGTAGAGACACTACATACTGATATACACCTGAACATCAGCAGGAGAGGACTCTTTAAAGTAGAGGCACTACATACTGATATAAACCTGAACATCAGCAGGAGAGGACTCTTTAAAGTAGAGACACTACATACTGATATACACCTGAACATCAGCAGGAGAGGACTCTTTAAAGTAGAGACACTACATACTGATATACACCTGAACATCAGCAGGAGAGGACTCTTTAAAGTAGAGGCACTACATACTGATATACACCTGAACATCAGCAGGAGAGGACTCTTTAAAGTAGAGACACTACATACTGATATACACCTGAACATCAGCAGGAGAGGACTCTTTAAAGTAGAGACACTACATACTGATATAAACCTGAACATCAGCAGGAGAGGACTCTTTAAAGTAGAGACACTACATACTGATATACACCTGAACATCAGCAGGAGAGGACTCTTTAAAGTAGAGACACTACGTACTGATATACACTTGAACATCAGCATGAGAGGACTCTTTAAAGTAGAGACACTACATACTGATATACACCTGAACATCAGCAGGAGAGGACTCTTTAAAGTAGAGGCACTACATACTGATATAAACCTGAACATCAGCAGGAGAGGACTCTTTAAAGTAGAGACACTACATACTGATATACACCTGAACATCAGCAGGAGAGGACTCTTTAAAGTAGAGACACTACATACTGATATACACCTGAACATCAGCAGGAGAGGACTCTTTAAAGTAGAGGCACTACATACTGATATAAACCTGAACATCAGCAGGAGAGGACTCTTTAAAGTAGAGACACTACATACTGATATACACCTGAACATCAGCAGGAGAGGACTCTTTAAAGTAGAGACACTACATACTGATATACACCTGAACATCAGCAGGAGAGGACTCTTTAAAGTAGAGGCACTACATACTGATATAAACCTGAACATCAGCAGGAGAGGACTCTTTAAAGTAGAGACACTACATACTGATATACACCTGAACATCAGCAGGAGAGGACTCTTTAAAGTAGAGACACTACATACTGATATACACCTGAACATCAGCAGGAGAGGACTCTTTAAAGTAGAGACACTACATACTGATATACACCTGAACATCAGCAGGAGAGGACTCTTTAAAGTAGAGACACTACATACTGATATAAACCTGAACATCAGCAGGAGAGGACTCTTTAAAGTAGAGACACTACATACTGATATACACCTGAACATCAGCAGGAGAGGACTCTTTAAAGTAGAGACACTACGTACTGATATACACTTGAACATCAGCATGAGAGGACTCTTTAAAGTAGAGACACTACATACTGATATACACCTGAACATCAGCAGGAGAGGACTCTTTAAAGTAGAGACACTACATACTGATATACACCTGAACATCATCAGGAGAGGACTCTTTAAAGTAGAGACACTACATACTGATATACACCTGAACATCAGCAGGAGAGGACTCTTTAAAGTAGAGACACTACATACTGATATACACCTGAACATCAGCAGGAGAGGACTCTTTAAAGTAGAGACACTACATACTGATATACACCTGAACATCAGCAGGAGAGGACTCTTTAAAGTAGAGGCACTACATACTGATATAAACCTGAACATCAGCAGGAGAGGACTCTTTAAAGTAGAGACACTACATACTGATATACACCTGAACATCAGCAGGAGAGGACTCTTTAAAGTAGAGACACTACATACTGATATACACCTGAACATCAGCAGGAGAGGACTCTTTAAAGTAGAGGCACTACATACTGATATACACCTGAACATCAGCAGGAGAGGACTCTTTAAAGTAGAGACACTACATACTGATATACACCTGAACATCAGCAGGAGAGGACTCTTTAAAGTAGAGACACTACATACTGATATAAACCTGAACATCAGCAGGAGAGGACTCTTTAAAGTAGAGACACTACATACTGATATACACCTGAACATCAGCAGGAGAGGACTCTTTAAAGTAGAGACACTACGTACTGATATACACTTGAACATCAGCATGAGAGGACTCTTTAAAGTAGAGACACTACATACTGATATACACCTGAACATCAGCAGGAGAGGACTCTTTAAAGTAGAGGCACTACATACTGATATAAACCTGAACATCAGCAGGAGAGGACTCTTTAAAGTAGAGACACTACATACTGATATACACCTGAACATCAGCAGGAGAGGACTCTTTAAAGTAGAGACACTACATACTGATATACACCTGAACATCAGCAGGAGAGGACTCTTTAAAGTAGAGGCACTACATACTGATATTAACCTGAACATCAGCAGGAGAGGACTCTTTAAAGTAGAGACACTACATACTGATATACACCTGAACATCAGCAGGAGAGGACTCTTTAAAGTAGAGACACTACATACTGATATACACCTGAACATCAGCAGGAGAGGACTCTTTAAAGTAGAGGCACTACATACTGATATAAACCTGAACATCAGCAGGAGAGGACTCTTTAAAGTAGAGACACTACATACTGATATACACCTGAACATCAGCAGGAGAGGACTCTTTAAAGTAGAGACACTACATACTGATATACACCTGAACATCAGCAGGAGAGGACTCTTTAAAGTAGAGACACTACATACTGATATACACCTGAACATCAGCAGGAGAGGACTCTTTAAAGTAGAGACACTACATACTGATATAAACCTGAACATCAGCAGGAGAGGACTCTTTAAAGTAGAGACACTACATACTGATATACACCTGAACATCAGCAGGAGAGGACTCTTTAAAGTAGAGACACTACGTACTGATATACACTTGAACATCAGCATGAGAGGACTCTTTAAAGTAGAGACACTACATACTGATATACACCTGAACATCAGCAGGAGAGGACTCTTTAAAGTAGAGACACTACATACTGATATACACCTGAACATCATCAGGAGAGGACTCTTTAAAGTAGAGACACTACATACTGATATACACCTGAACATCAGCAGGAGAGGACTCTTTAAAGTAGAGACACTACATACTGATATACACCTGAACATCAGCAGGAGAGGACTCTTTAAAGTAGAGACACTACACACTGATATACACCTGAACATCATCAAGAGAGGACTCTTTAAAGTAGAGACACTACATACTGATATACACCTGAACATCAGCAGGAGAGGACTCTTTAAAGTAGAGACACTACACACTGATATACACCTGAACATCATCAAGAGAGGACTCTTTAAAGTAGAGACACTACATACTGATATACACCTGAACATCAGCAGGAGAGGACTCTTTAAAGTAGAGACACTACATACTGATATACACCTGAACATCAGCAGGAGAGGACTCTTTAAAGTAGAGACACTACATACTGATATACACCTGAACATCAGCAGGAGAGGACTCTTTAAAGTAGAGACACTACATACTGATATACACCTGAACATCAGCAGGAGAGGACTCTTTAAAGTAGAGACACTACACACTGATATACACCTGAACATCAGCAGGAGAGGACTCTTTAAAGTAGAGACACTACATACTGATATACACCTGATCATCAGCAGGAGAGGACTCTTTAAAGTAGAAATACTACATACTGATATACACCTGAACATCAGCAGGAGAGGACTCTTTAAAGTAGAGACACTACACACTGATATACACCTGAACATCAGCAGGAGAGGACTCTTTAAAGTAGAGACACTACACACTGATATACACCTGATCATCAGCAGGAGAGGACTCTTTAAAGTAGAAATACTACATACTGATATACACCTGAACATCAGCAGGAGAGGACTCTTTAAAGTAGAGACACTACATACTGATATACACCTGAACATCAGCAGGAGAGGACTCTTTAAAGTAGAGACACTACATACTGAAATACACCTGAACATCAGCAGGAGAGGACTCTTTAAAGTAGAGACACTACATACTGATATACACCTGAACATCAGCAGGAGAGGACTCTTTAAAGTAGAGACACTACATACTGATATACACCTGAACATCAGCAGGAGAGGACTCTTTAAAGTAGAGACACTACATACTGATATACACCTGATCATCAGCAGGAGAGGACTCTTTAAAGTAGAGATACTACATACTGATATACACCTGAACATCAGCCGGAGAGGACTCTTTAAAGTAGAGACACTACATACTGATATACACCTGAACATCAGCAGAAGAGGACTCTTTAAAGTAGAGACACTACATACTGATATACACCTGAACATCAGCAGGAGAGGACTCTTTAAAGTAGAGACACTACATACTGATATACACCTGAACATCAGCAGGAGAGGACTCTTTAAAGTAGAGACACTACATACTGATATACACCTGAACATCAGCAGGAGAGGACTCTTTAAAGTAGAGACACTACATACTGATATACACCTGATCATCAGCAGGAGAGGACTCTTTAAAGTAGAGACACTACATACTGATATACACCTGAACATCAGCAGGAGAGGACTCTTTAAAGTAGAGACACTACATACTGATACACACCTGAACATCAACAGGAGAGGACTCTTTAAAGTAGAGACACTACATACTGATATACACCTGATCATCAGCAGGAGAGGACTCTTTAAAGTAGAGACACTACATACTGATATACACCTGAACATCAGCAGGAGAGGACTCTTTAAAGTAGAGACACTACATACTGATATACACCTGAACCTCAGCAGGAGAGGACTCTTTAAAGTAGAGGCACTACATACTGATATACACCTGGACATCAGCAGGAGAGGACTCTTTAAAGTAGAGACACTACATACTGATATACACCTGAACATCAGCAGGAGAGGACTCTTTAAAGTAGAGGCACTACATACTGATATACACCTGAACATCAGCAGGAGAGCACTCTTTAAAGTAGAGACACTACATACTGATATACACCTGAACATCAGCAGGAGAGGACTCTTTAAAGTAGAGACACTACATACTGATATACACCTGAACATCAGCAGGAGAGGACTCTTTAAAGGAGAGACACTACATACTGATATACACCTGGACATCAGCAGGAGAGGACTCTTTAAAGTAGAGACACTACATACTGATATACACCTGAACATCAGCAGGAGAGGACTCTTTAAAGTAGAGACACTACATACTGATATACACCTGAACATCAGCAGGAGAGGACTCTTTAAAGTAGAGGCACTACATACTGATATACACCTGAACATCAGCAGGAGAGGACTCTTTAAAGGAGAGACACTACATACTGATATACACCTGGACATCAGCAGGAGAGGACTCTTTAAAGTAGAGACACTACATACTGATATACACCTGAACATCAGCAGGAGAGGACTCTTTAAAGTAGAGACACTACATACTGATATACACCTGAACATCAGCAGGAGAGGACTCTTTAAAGTAGAGACACTACATACTGATATACACCTGGACATCAGCAGGAGAGGACTCTTTAAAGTAGAGACACTACATACTGATATACACCTGATCATCAGCATACAATGGGCTCCTTTAAAAAGTAAGGCTCAGATTGAACTAAAGCTACTTCCTGAAACCAAATCAGGAAACCATAATAGGAAAAATGTATATTTGACATTACTGCCGGGATAAAGAATTAAAACTTTAAAAATTGTTAGAAAGGTTATAACAATTAGAAAAGAAATCAGCGTCAGGCCTATTCAGAGCTGCTGGGACAAGTGCCTGCAAACACGACACTCCCACAGACAGTGGTCACACCCATGTCTACACGCACGCACGCACTCATTCTTCCATGATGTCCATGTTGACTATCTGTTGGTCTTCTGTGTTACTAAAAGCATGTATCGTGTAAAAACAATTATGCTGTTTATCTTTGTATCTAGTTTTGCAAGCATGCACATTAATATCCAGTATCAACAACATGCTGATGATGAGTGTAAGTCCAATGACAAAGAAAGCGCCAATGTTCCTGCAAACCAGTTAAACAAGTTATTGCTTAGTAGAAGTAGAAACAGCGTTAAAAACATTAAAATAATCAGAGCTTTGGGGAATGTTGATCTGTCAGACTGGGACACAGCATTTGTGTATAAAGCCAATGTTGTGCAATACTTTAATGTATGTGAAATATTAACCAAAATGCATCGTTGAGCTATAAACGAATTATAGAAATATCAACTGAATCTGCTATGCATGTGTATAATGGATGAGTGAGAGAAAACAATTATTTCTGTCACAGTTAAGTAAGAAAACATATAGTAAAATGTGTGTCCTGTGCAAATCTTAGACCTACAATCTGTCTTATATTCACTCTTATGACAACAACTATGCACATCGGAATAAAACAGTGGACCCCGAGTGTTTCGTCCGGTGAGTTTACCTGCATTGTGGAGGGCTTGGACTCGATCTAAATACTCGTTCACTTTGACCTGGATCCCCTCCAGTTTGGACCCGGCCATCCCAGAATATATCAGGGCCTGGGCTGCCTCCTGGAGCAAAACAAATCCCAGACGGACCAAGTTATTAATTGTCAAATGAACATTAATTAAGCAGTCTTTGGCCTTTAAAACCCCCTACAATAAGGATTCAAAATGATGTGTCATGCAAGCAACACATTTGAATCTACAACATGAAATAATTCAGAGGTTAAAATAATAAATATGTGTGATGGATAAAAATTGCAAAATGTTCAACTAAAATAAATAAAATATTCAACCAAAATTCCGTTTTATTGTCCCCAGTTAGTAAAAGTTGTTATAGAATACGAGACAACATTTAGGTATTATTATTTAGTAGCAGTTTATAAGCTTTATCATGAATTGAGGTAAGGAAACTAGGTGAAAAGCTACATTATTCACGTAATACATATTCCCATTTGTTATCTGTTTTCTTTTTCATAAAGCATATATATATATATATATATATTCATAAAGTTATATTTTATAAGGCAAAGTGGCAGTATAAAGGAATGATACAGTGACAGTCCCAACGCTTTGTACAAATGAAAGTTCCTTGTTATTGTTAACAGAAGATCAAGCACAGCCTGAAGAGACAAGCTAAATAATGGAAGTCAAAGTAAAAGTTTACCTGTAGCAAGGTGAGCTAAGTGCTAACTTTGGCAGCTACCTATCTGTCAGGTTGAAACGTATTTCCACTTACCTTATAATAGAATACAGCCTCATTGTATTTGCCACTCTGGTCATAGGTGACAGCTGTTTTGGCAAATTTGAAAGCATCGATCTCCAGCGCCGTGCAGTCCATATTGAACTAAGTGTTGACAAAGTGACAAGCTAGCTAACTGCTAACGTCAGCTAGCTTTCATTCACCAAAAATAACCAAATATCTGTCCTTTCCTCGAAACACAGTTCGTTTCATCAACTCGGAGAGAACATAGTGATGGTTATCCTGACGAGCGAGGTTAATCCAGGGGTGAAAGCTGGCTAGTTTATGTGTTGTTGTACCTTTTGACAGATGACTGTTTTACTAGCCGATACCAAAACAACCATGTTGTTTCCGGGAGACACGATTCGCGCATGCGCACATTGGAGTGTGTTCTATTCACGTGAGTAGGAAATAAGGTAGATACTTTTTGATCCAAAATTGGGAAATTATTGTGTTACAGCAGCAGAGTGTTTAGGCATTTCAATATTTAAAAGGTGGAATAAAGTATAGGCATAATAAAATTAAAAATATAATACAAAATAAACGATCAACCAATCACAGACAATTTCTCCTGTCTTCCGTAAACACCTGTCTTCGGTGTATGACAATGTTATTGAACAGTTACATTTTAACAGCAGGGCCAACTTTAGCCAAAGATCTGTACAGTGTTTCCACTTTATAGAACATTTGATAAGCGATACAAATATCTTATCGAAACAGTTCGTTTAGGTTAGAAAGATATGGAGGAATGAATACCTCAAACACAAAACGTTCTCCGGATACAAGACTTAACCACCCTAGCAGTGGCGACTGGACATTAGGGGCAGGTGGGGCACAGCCCCACCTAGTGTCAGCAGAAAGTATTAAAAGTAATGATTACAAAAAAATGCAAAAAATATATAAAATATATTTTAAGATCATGTTTATTCATCTGATTCGTCTGTACATTGCTGTTTTAGTCTGTGTTCTTCTAATTAGTGTCTACAGTGTGTGCCTATTGAGCTGTTTAGAGCCATGTGGGACAAAACCCGATCCTGCCCCTCCCTCTCCCTGTTTAAGTCAATGGTGACTGTAAAAACTACACTGCGCATGCTCAGAGTATTGTCCTATTTAATGTGTGTGGCAAAAAAATAATGACCATAGGGGCATAGTGCTGCCATCCCCACCATACGTCATCTCACATAATTCAGAGCTGATTGGCTGTAAGTACGTGTGCCGCGAAAAGTGTGGCGTGTGAAGAGGAGGAGAGAGAGCTGCAGTGAGGCGTACTAAAACCAGGAAATAAACTGCGCATGGCTTCCCTCCACAAAAAAGCAATGATATTTCTCCATAGGATTTTAGAAAATAGCTCCAAATAAGATCTGTGGGAAACAAACCTGTTTGATAAATGCACGTTTTGTTCAGCCGGATAATATCCACATGTCTACCCTACTTTTATAATTTTCGAATCATAAATCTATTGATTAGATCAGATTTATGATAGACTTTTGAAACTACAAGAACATAAGGAGGACTTTTACAAAAAAGTAATAGAGATTTTTGTCCAGAAGGATAGGCAAATGGACTTCATCTTCATGTCAAGGTAAGACTGCAATTTTACCACCGCCATGAAAATGGGATCTTACTAAGAGAGAACAATTCAATATTTAAATGATAAAATTACATTTTTTGGGTATCCTTTTGTTGAACTGTCTGTTTAAAATTAATTGAAGCATCAGACAAAAAAAGCTTTTGAAAATAATATTATATTTTGATTTAGGTCAAAATATAATATTTCTAAACCTGAAGAGTCAGAGCCTCACCAGCCATGAACCTCACTGCAGAAGCTTATATATAGACATCTAAGTTGTTTGTGCCCCACCACTTTTGTACATATAAAAACGCCACTGCACCCTAGTAAAGTAGACTATGAGCTTTTAACCTAATGTCTATCAAAACAAAGCATATTAGCGCTGTCCTCCGAGCTGCACAACTTCTATCTGCAGGGACTGTCTACAAAGTGCAACACTGAAACATGATGAAACTAAAATATTACACAACTTCCCTTCTCATTTAGTAAAGTTCTACCAAAATTAAAGATTGTATTACTGGTAGGGAACTGTAAGCACATGAGCATTAAGGAACTACATCATTGGAAGTATGAAGCATATTCATTTATAAGTGATTTAACATAGATATAATGTACAATTAAAAAAAGGCAAAAGGTTACCCTACAACCAATGCTTAGACCTCTAGGCTAACATCAATTGTTTAACACACGATGATAAACATAATATTCATCAATAATTATAATCAAAACATAAAATACACATTATCCTGAAATGGACCATCCTGCATAGTACTTTTACTTTTTGTACTTTAAGTATATTTTGATGCTTAGGGGAGAGTGGGGTAAGTTGAGCCATGTTTTAGTTATGCTGTCCTCTAAGCAAGGAGAAATGACACGTAGTAAAAATGAAAACACACACCTATAATTCAGGATGTCTCCTATCAATGGCAATGATAATAATTAATATTTGATCAAGGGCAGTGAAAATATTACTTCTTAAAAAACAAAAGTCTTGTGGCTCAACTTGCCCCAGTGTAGGGGTAAGTTGATCCAGGTCAGGGGGTAAATTGAACCACGGTTCAAACCTGGGCATACCTGTTCAAACCTGAGCATACCTACAACAAATCTTAAAGGTAACTTTAAACAATAAATAACAAACCAAATACAAACTTAGTTTTTCAAATATTTTTAAATACATTTCGATTGAATTGATTGATTTTGTTTTAACATGTTAAAAGGAAAAGTAATCATACAAATGGTGATACAATTTCATACATCTTACCAATCAAACACAGGGTAAATTCAACTTTAAATGTAGCCTATGAGCTCTTATTATCAACTTGGCCTACTTTCATTAATTTCTCCATTGAAAAACTGGCTCAACTTACCCCAAGGCCCGTGGTTCACTTTACCCCATAGCCACCATTTTAGAAAAAATAGCCTAGCATTACAATTCAGAGTCATCTTTAGCTTAATGATTCACATGGTTTAATACGCTGCCAACACATCAACATATACAATATATGTATTTAAACCTGGATACTTTTTTTTTGACATGCCGATTTAGCTGACATCTAGAAAATGTACTTTGACAAGCAAAAAACGTTTTTTTTGTAAAAATGTTTACTTCCCAGACCACAATGAGTATCTCTCTTTCACAGGCAATGAGAAATGGGTGGAGCTTGCATAATTTCTGGTCACTTAATTACAACTATAAGGCGTTGCCTCATTACAGGGGGTGGTTCAACTTACCCACTGGCTCAACTTACCCCCTTCTCCCTATAGCCTACTTATGGAGTAGGATTTTGAATGCAGGACTTTTACTTGTAACAAAGTATTCCTACACTCTGGTACTTCTACTTTTACTTAAGCAAAGTAGTAAGAGTACTTATTCCACCTCTGAGTGTAAAGATATATTTTTATAAATGTATACACTGTGGTGACATTTACAGGACATAATTCACTGAGTCATATAGTGTGTGTTGCACCACGGACGAGTTAGTGAGTGCACCGTTATTGTGGTTTTGACTAGCTTGACATGAGTAGCAAGCAGATGTACTACTATACATTGTCCTTATGCTAATGGAAATAAAGTGTGGAGTTCCATACTGTACACACCGCCTCTGACTCCCTTTCATCGGCTCTACAACACTATAGATACAAATCCAAAAGCTTGCTTGGTTGCACACAGAATATACATAGCCTACTTCATTAAATACGTACACTAAAAAAATATCATATTGCCTTACCCCGGGATTCCACCAGGTCCGTCTGCGCCGCGTTTTTTTTACGACCTCCTACAGCGTCAAACCCTACTGGCCGCTTTTCAGAATCGGAGAGTCTTCGTGCCGGCTCGCAGTTTTTGTTGATTTGGGCATATTTCCTGGACAGGCTACTTTGTACAGACAAAGTTAATAATACTTGTAATATTCCAGTTATAAACGACATGAATCAAAGATGTGTTGCTGTATTTTAGTGATAAAAAAATGCATTCATCAGCGACCTGTCCACTTCCTGCCCGGCGCTATGCAACGCCTCGCGTCTAAAATAGACCAGCATCCTATTTTTAGCGGAGCCCAGCGCTGAGACGCTTCTTGGATGCTTCTGAGCCGTAACGCGGCGCGTCTCGTGGAATAGCACCCAGTAGGCGCTTTCACACCGCAAAACTTTTCCCACAAAGTTTCATCAGAACTTAGTTCATGAGAACTTTTTAGTTCTCATGAAGTAAGTAGGCTACAGATCGCGTTCACACCGGAATAAGTTCCCTGGGGGAGGATTAGGCAAATGAAGCTGCTGACGTCACTTCTTCTTCTTCTGCTTTGGGTTTACTGGCAGGCCGCAAACCACTTCACGGCGTATACTGCCACCCAAAGTCCCCGGCCGGAAGTCCCCGGAGTTAGGGACTGGCTTCAGTAGAAGCTGCTGGGACTCCCAGCAGCTTCTACTGAAGCCTTCCGAGTAAATCGCCAGAACGCCGACACCTCCTCATCTCCACCGCTCCCATGTTTTATTTTGTGTTGTCATAAGTTGGTCTCTCTGCGTTTGTGCGCCAGGGTTGCCAACTTTGGGTACCTGGCTGAAGTGAGATTTTGATATCATGGGTTTAATTACGCATATGCGCACTAAATGACTGCTATCGTGTCAGTAGCGGGACCTTAGCATATATATAGGATATATATACAAATACACAATATTGGACAGACTATAAAGGACACACAGTTTCATTCACTAATGAAAGTCAAACACATGTTTGTTTCCACTGTTTTATTGTGTGCCTGTCGCGATAAGCAATTAATTGACTTATTGTACGATAAATAAAAATGAACTCGATAACTTTTCTGACCTCGATAAATTGCCATGTAGGCTACATGAGGATGTGACTAGCAGTTTGAAAGGATGTACTTGAATATATTATCATTATGTCAGTGGTCTAAAATGGTCATACAACGGTGCCGACAATATTATCGTTTATCGCAATAATTTCCGGGAAAAGGTATCCAACAAAATACATTTTCGTGAGAGGCCTATACATGAAACACACACGCAAACAAATCTATAGACTTACTCCAAACTGCCAAATATATTAATTAACGCACTCTCACTCTCATATACTCTTTGACTCTATTTTGGCCTAGTAGAACAATAACCAGCAGACTTTTACTTCTGTATAATTTCTACTGGATCTTAAATCTGCGCATGCGCAATACGGGTCGGGGATTGACCAACCGGCTCCCACTGCTCTGCTGTCTGTTAACGTTGTTAAGAGTGGTGGGGGCGGGGAGGGAGCGGGTCGACAGCTTGAGCAGCTGTCAACTCAACATTGTAAATAACCAACCAAAAACGATCGCCGGTTCATCTTGTTTTTGGCGTGAGAATAGTTTGGGCAGCGTGAGAGCGTGTGTCACACGCCAGATGCGTGAGAGTTGGCAACCCTGTTGTACGCTGGGCTAATGCAAGGATAATAAAATGGCGGCTTCACAAAACTTTTTGGAAGTTTTACGGGGCGTGGTTTGCAATCCGCCCAGCCAATCAGACATAAGAACCTTTTTCTCCCACGGAAAAGGGGGTAAAAAGGTTCCCATGAACTAATTTTAGTTCCGGATTTTTTTGGTGTGAACGCAACTATATCGGAACTAAAGTGGGAAAAGTACTGCGGTGTGAAAGCGCCTTTTGACGAGTGGCCGCGATTCTTTGCGAACGCCGCGGCACAGCCGTAACACGGCCGTAACGGCCCCTACACACGGCAGCGTGCGTTGCCGCTTCAACGCTTCTGCCCATTCATTTTGAATGGGGTGACGTCATGATTCGCCGAACTGCATTGTGGGAGCAAAGCGTAGCTTCTCTCGTGGTGCTCGCTGCAAAAGTAGAGCAATGTTCTACTTTTGACGCCTCGACGGAGGCGTCAGCCAATCAAACCCCTTTATGAAAAATGCCAGTACAAGCGCTAGCCAATCAAACCGCGTGTGTGCTGGGAGAGCTAGACCGCAGTTCATTTCCTCATATAACAAAAAATGGAGGAGAAAATAATCGTAGCGGTAGGGAATCACCCGGTGCTTTATGATCAGTCCCTGTTCACCTACCAGGATACAAACCGGAGGAGGCATGGGGGGAGGTGGCAGAGACAGTGGGTGAAACTGGTAGGTTTTCGCCTGTTTGGGGAGTTTATATCCAGTTTACTTCGTTTGGATGGACAGCTAGCAGACATAGACTGTATTTAGCCAGCATGGAATGTTGCGTAAAATAGCACCATAGACATTAATGTCATAAATGTTCATCATGTAAAGTGTGACATGTAAAACATTTTATGCAATTGACAGGAGAGATTCATGTGATTGGTTGTTGGTCGCGTTGCTCGCGTAAACTCCCCAAGCTCAAGACACGCCCACTGCCAAGCGGCAACGCACGCCGCCGTGTGTAGGGGCCGTAACACAACGCAGACGGACCCAGTGAAATCTAGGAGTGCACGCTTTATTTTTGTTCATGTGTTACTGATTTGTGAGGAAATAACTACAACACAGTGGGACTAAAACACGAATTAACTTCTAGATAAATCACACACATAACTCTCATCTCTACATATTAAAATGTGAAAACATCACAATACAAATTCTTAAGAAAACAGCTCTGAGCTAATTATGTTAAACCAAAGATGTAGCGACTCCTATTGGCCCACATAAAGCAGCGTTTTAAATGTTTTCCCAAAAAGCAAATTGAGCAAGTTTTGGTCCTTTTATATCAAATGATCGCTATATACTGATATGATCAATGAGGTTACTGCATCTCTGAAAAGTAAAAGAAAAACATTTGTAAGAGTACAAGTATGACTGCAGTGTTTAAACAGATAGAGCTTTCTTCTGGCAGATCCATCGTCGTTTCTCTTCACAGCTCACTGATGACCATGTTGTGTTGCGCCAGACAGAGAGTGCACAGTGACCCTCAGTAGGTGGGTCTACCCAGGAGCTGAGGAAAAAATATGAAGTTTAGATAAAGGCTGATAGATGTTTATGATTCAAAGTGTTTAGTAACGTGTCTCTTACCTATTAGTCAGATCACTTCCATCTGCCCACTTCCATTTCCCGTTTTCAACTCTCAGGCCAATCCAGCTTCCATCAGTTGATATACTGTAATGATTGATGATGTTCTGACAATAGAGAAACAGTCATCAGGTATTTAAATATAATACTCAAATCAACATGTTATGAGATAGATATATACTGTAGGTATGGAATGTAGGTAGATAGATAGATAGATAGATAGATACTTTTTCATTACATAATTGTGTTACCTTTTCCTTTTCATTATGTGCGGCAGCCACATATGCATTAAGCGCTCTGCAGTATTCTCGAGCTTCTTCCCAGGTTAACCACCCTGTAGGGTCAGGGTTATAGGCCGAATAGCAGCTCGGCCCGTAGGGTAACCAGTTCTTCTCACAAGGTTGACACAGTTTCCCTGAAACAACAGAGACCAACCCATTATCCACATCGTGACTGCTTTGTAATTGTGATCATTATTATTTATTTGTTGGGATATATATTTGTTAAATGGCAAAAAATAAAGCACATTTCAACAACAAGGCACTTTAATACTGTTAAATGATCATTTAAATGAGTAAACCATAATGCAAAACAAACACAATATATAGTGACATTTAAAGGTGGGGTAGGTAAGTTTCAGAAACCGGCTCGAGTGCACTAACATTTGAAAGTACACAGCCGCCCCTTCCTTCAGACTTCCTTACAGAGCACCTCCTCCAACACACATGAACGCGCAATGCACGCCCAATGAGGGCACGAGATACATTTGTGCGTGCACGAGATGGAAGGCTGACAGACAAGGCGGCAATCCAATCCGTTTAGCCGGCCCGGCTAAACGGATTGGTTGTACTTTTTACAGTATTACGGCTTCCACAGATGACGTTTTTTTATGGATTTTTTGTCAAAGCACTTAAGATATTCATTGCTATCGGGATGTTTAGAGCATTCCATGGAATATAACAAAAAGTGTATCTCAAGCCGGTTTCTGAAACTTACCTACCCCACCTTTAAACTGATATCAATCGATAAAAAGTTGTAATCACGATATTCACTAAAACGACTAATCACGATTAACCACAAGTTAAAACTTCTAGTATTTACTTGTATTTTAGAGGTGTTATAAATTAAAATCAATGTTTTATGGCATAATGTACCTTAAACATACCGTCAGTTTAAATGCTATTTTATTCTGGAAAAAACCGGAAGTTCTCAATACCAAGCTTTTATTCTGAAAATTCTTCATGACGACATCCGGGACTACCGCCCATTAGTATCATTAAAGTGGCTATTGACGCCGTTAACATGTATTACATATAAAGTTATGAAAGAGATAAGGAGGAGAAAAGGCATGTGGAAGTAAGCAATGAATGTAAAATGTCGAAATCCTCTGTTTAACTTGATATCGGACACAGACGAACGAGGGGGGAAGTCTCCTACGTCACTACAGCTCACAGAAAGGAGGAGCGAACAGCCAGCAAGCGGGAAGGACGAATGCTTGTAAGTTCTCTTCTGCACGGCCGGCACCTGGGAGAGGAAGCTGCAGTCTTTCTCTCCTGACTGAACAATATCCTGTTTGTAACATTACCGCGCTTTTTATTAATTAAAGTACCAATTTTGAACCTTCTCAGAGACTCCATTTAGTCTCCTTTTTAAGCTTCTCACCTTGACGCGAGAAAAACGATCACGGTTTACAGAGGTTAATAAAACAAATACATGTGTGGTGTTGTAATAAAGAAATGTCTTTAGAGAAATCAGAGGGTTTAACGCGCGATACACATATGCTCGTATGGTAGTATACTGCCATACAGTTCTCATATTTCAAGCACTAAGAATATTATCTGTTTCTACAGTGGTCACCCTATATCTCTGTGCAATGATTCAGTAAATGCCTTTCCTCTGTTTTCACCACACAGAGTTCTGTCATTACTGCAGGAAGACAGGATCAAATTTAGTAACGTGATACATTTGCATATTGTTTTACAATATATATTGTCAAGCTTATTTATCCTCGTTGATGGTTCCTGAACATACCTTCACCCTCTTTGCAGTACTCATTGATGCTCCACTGAGCTCGACTGACGTTGAGCTCAGTCCAGTTTGTCTCCATTTCTTTTATTTGCGTTGTCAAGCCATCCTTCTGTGATGTCAGCGTCTTGATTTCTGCAGTCTGCTTGGCGTTGTCTTCAGAAAGTTCAGAGGTAACTACAGAGACAGACAGAGGGAGGTGTTGGGCTGTGAAACTTCTGTTTAAATGTTCTTAATAGATATTGAAGAATGGGTTCACATGTTTGAATCTATCTTGAATCAATAGTCAGCACTTTGGCTCGACCAAAAATCGTTTTTAAATGTGCTATATAAATAAAACTTGATTTGATTGGAAGTGCTCATATGAACACGTGAACAACTGCTTTGTTTGGTGCAAAATGATATTCTAAACTTTACCTGAAGATTATGGGAAGTTCTGCAGTCTACAGTGCGTTTGGTAACTCAAGTACTTCAAGTATCAAACACTGAAATACCTCTTTGCACAGAGCCAGTTTGAACATCAGGAAGGATAAGTCACGGAGCTTACTGATTAACAGGAACAACTTTAAACTGTCCACCGGTCTGGTGGCCGGGCACAGCCCGAAAAGGCAACGTGGGCAACACCTCCGCTTCTCCGTCCCGCGGGCCCACCACCTACGGGAAACAGCGATGGGGTCGGGTGCGCTGCCAGAGAGGGTTGGCCTCCGCCAGGGCTGCGCTTCGTCACCAATCCTGTTTGTAATATACATGGATCGGATTTCGAGGCGTTGTCGTGGGGGAGGGGGTCTGCAGTTAAGTGGACTAAGGATTGCACCACTGCTTTTTGCAGATGATGTGGTTCTAATGGCTTCATCGGTCTGCGACCTTCAGCACTCACTGGATCGGTTCGCAACCGAGTGTGAAGCGGCTGGGATGATGATCAGCACCTCCAAATCTGAGGCCATGGTTCTCAGCAGGAAACCGATGGACTGTCCACTCCAAGTAGGGAATGAGTCCTTACCCCAAGTGAAGGAGTTCAAGTATCTTGGGGTCTTGTTCTCGAGTGAGGGAACAATGGAGCTTGAGATGGGCCAGAGAATCGGAGCAGCGGGAGCGGTACTGCAGTCGCTTTACCGCACCGTTGTGACGAAAAGGGAGCTGAGCCAGAAGGCAAAGCTCTCTGTCTACCGGGCCATTTTCGTGCCTACCCTCACCTAAGGTCATGAAGGATGGGTCATGACCGAAAGAACGAGATCGCGTATACAAGCGGTCAAGATGGGTTTTCTCCGCAGGGTGGCTGGTGTCTCCCTTAGGGATAAGGTGAGAAGTTCGGTCATCCGGGAGGGACTCAGAGTTGAACCGCTCCTCCTTCACGTCGAAAGTAGCCAGTTGAGGTGGTTCGGGCACCTAGTTAGGATGCTACCTGGGCGCCTCCCTAGGGAGGTGTTCCAGGCAAGTCCAGCTGGGAAGAGACCAAGGGGTAGACCTAGGACCAGGTGGAGGGATTATATCTCTTCGCTGACCTGGGAGCGCCTTGGGATCCCCCAGTCAGAGCTGGTTGATGTGGCCAGGGAAAGGAACGTTTGGGGCTCTCTGCTGGAACTGCTACCCCCGCGACCTGACCACGGATAAGTGGGAGAAGATGGATGGATGGAACTTTAAACTGCGGCTTTTTGCCCAATTAGCAAAACAAGCAAACAACTTCACACACGCTTCACTTTCATGCCACATGTCAGCTTCCTATTGCTAAATTGTGGCAGCAAACGAGAGGGGAGATGTTGGATCGACACACAGAGTTACAGAGCTTCAGGTCACATTTAATACAAACTGTTGAACTGACATTCACACAGAAGATACTCACAGTAGATACGAAGACCCATGATGGCTAACAGTATGATCCAACACACTGCTATCGGAAGAACAAACCTCAAGCCTGAAAAACAAGCATTCAGTTAAAAAACCTTAACAAAGGTTTCAAAGGTTTCATAGTCATATACACAGATACAGTTTGGTCTAAAAACTCTGGCCGCTGGTTGGTTAAAACATGCAATATATACACATTTATTAATATATATATAATACTGTTGTATTAGCTGTAAAGTGTCTCTACTGTAGGCTATTTTTATTATATGTACAGCACTTTGGCTCCACCAAAAATCATTTATAAATGTGCTATATAAATAAAACTTGATTTGATTTGATTTAAAATACTTAAAACACAAGTGCAAGCTCAAGAGTTTAATAGTCTTATGGCCTAAAATAATTTAACAGGCTAAGCTAACGCTTTCAATACATTATAAGCATACCGCTTAGCAATTGTAACCATAGTCACTATCTCACTGTTTTACCTTTATGTTTCTTTTAAACATGTTAACAGTATTAAATAGTGAAATGTGTTGATCATGCACCTGGATGGGATGCCTTTGTATCCACGGTGCCTTCTGGTGCAGATCCTTTTTTGGTGTCGTCTGAAAAATATAGACGTCATGTGTTTAACTTATGAAGTTTATCAGAATCAGAAACAGGTTTATTACCAGGTAGGTTAACATAGGGGGAATTTGACTTGCGGCCCGTCCACACAGCGGCGCGCGTTGAAGCTTCCAACGCTTCTGCCCATTCACTTTGAATGGGGTGACGTCACTTTTAGCCGAACTGCATTTTGGGAAGCGACGTGGAGCGTTGCTGGCGTTGCTCGCTTCAAAAGTTGAGCAATGTTCAACTTTTGACGCCTCGACGGAGGAGTCAGCCAATGAAATCTCGTTTATGCAAATCTGCCAGTACAAGCGCTAGCCAATCAAACCGCGTGTATGCTGGGAGAGACTACGCAGGTCATTTCCTCATATTCCAAAAAATGGAGGGAAAATTCATTGTTGCGGTAGTGAATCACCCGGTGCTGTATGATCAGTCTCTCTTCACCTACCGGGATACAAACCGGAGGAACCAGGCATGGAGGGAGGTGGCAGAGACAGTGGGTGAAACTGGTAGGTTTTCGCCTGTTTGGGGATTTTATATCCAGTTTACTTTGTTTTAACATTGCTATTGCTTTGTATGTCGGGGGCGGGAGATTCATGTGATTGGTTGTTGGTCGCGTTGCTCGCAAAAAATCCCCAAGCTTCAGACACGCCCACCGCCAAGCGTCAACGCACGCCGCTGTGTGGACGGGCCGTTGGTGTTCTGGTACATACATTAAAATTAAAATAAAACACAGATAGAAAACAATTTTAAGAAAACTATAATAACAATTTTTTTTCTTTTTCAATACTAAAATACATATATTTTATACATGTAAAACTGCTATAGCAGTATTTACATTGAATATGGTTGAAATCTCAGAAATAGAATTGTAATAAATGATGTGCAGTAATGAAAAACAAGACTATCAGCAAACACACTGCTATTGGTGGAAAATGCATTGAATAAAAGCGGCCTCTGGACTGAGTAACGTAACTGAACATGAATTAACAGTTAATATAAAATAAAAAGAGCTGATTTAATATTCACATGTTTAACCTTCATCACTATTTTATTTAAATAATATGACTGTTGAATAAATCTCATGGTTGCTTGTGTTCACAGCTCACCTGGACGCGGTGCCTTTTTATCCGCAGGGCCTTCTGGTGCATTCACATAGTCAGCTTCTCCTGTGATTTCCTCTGGAAGATAAACACATACTGTTTCATCAGATATGCAGCTTCCCTCCCATTATGTTCAGCACGCATGAGGAACCATTTCACTAAAGGATGGAGTTTATAATCAAACTCAACGATGTAAAATCAGTTGCTGTCACGCAAAGAATCAGGAGCAGAAAAGCAGAACTAAAAACACACGGAGAAGTGTATCATGCTGACTTTTTAAAACGAGATTAAAGACCAATTAGACAAACTCAAATCTGCCTCTTTCAAGTAAAACATTTGTTCATGTTATTGTTGAAAATGAAGCACATTTAGTATTTAGTACAATAGTTCATCATGTGTGGTTAACATATTGATAAACTACAAGCTTCTTCCTTAATTTACTCTAAAAAATCCCCAAATGCATTAAACATGATGTCTCTATGTTCAGCAGAGCTGATCTATTACAATTTTAAAGATTCAATCTTAAATTAATTTGGATATTTAAAATAATGTGCTGCTAGGGAGTGGTCTAGCCTCAAAAGCAACTTACGCATATATAGTCATACATAGCAAACCATGTTGGTAAATGAAAAGAAAAACATATCATAGGTTGTATCTTAGACAGAAACACACACACATAAACTCTGGAATATTCTTTAATTACCCATATCCTCGATTATGTTTCCTTTCGTCCCGAACAAAGTCCTGCTGCAGTCCTGATGAGAGCGTCTCTCTGATGTGACGGTTCAGTCGACTTCTGCTTCGAGGTGGAGATGGCATCTTTTTAATCTCCTGTTCTCATGTCATGTTGATACTTCCAAAATAGTTTCAACCGGAACTTGAAAACGTGCGGCCCTTTCACCGGGTTTTAATAGAGTCACACGTCCAACATATTGGATTTCCTAATAAATAATCATATTAACTGCAATTTGGATCTCCATTGGATTTCTAGGCCCCAAAAACGTATGTTTAGTCTCTCAATGCCACTTCCTGTCCCTCTCTGGAAATCTGCTAGAGACTAAATATTGATTTACTTTTGGTTCATTTCAAAACATGTTACATCATCGTGAATAAGATTGTTTCTCCTGACTATTATAAGTCTGTAGAGACTATACAGACTTGGCTACAATGGTCAAAATCAGTTTAGTAGTGTTCATAGAGCTGTTGTGGAGGTTATCATGAAGCCTTGTTCTGATAAAAACTAGAGGTAGTTATTATATAATGTTAACTTGAAAAGGGTCAAAGGAGACCTGAACACAACATAAGGGTTAGAGCATATGTGTCAAACTCAAGGCCCGGGGGCCAAATCCGGCCCGTGTTGGATTTAATTTCGGCCCGCAGAATAATTTCTAATTCCTATTAGATCTGGCCCTCCGGTATATTGCACGCACACCTTCACTCCATCCTGAGGGTCTCCTCCGCTCAGAGCCTGAGCCCAAACATTGATGACCTTGCACCCGAGATGAGATGCCAAGTATCTGAGCTAGCATCACAGAGCAGCACACTGAGTTCAATGGATGCTTCCTTCTGCACTTTGTTTCTTGCGACAACAGGGCATGTTTGGTTTGTTCTTTGAGGGAAATAGTTTTGTTGAAGCTGCTGTTGGCCTGTGGGAAAATGTACTCATAAGAAATGACTCTGGAAAAGCTGCAGATAGAGCCATAAGAAATGAATGCCTCTTATCATTTAATGTTTAATGTTGTTTTTATAGGCAATCATTTAAGCTTTGTTAGTTCCAGGTTTAATATGTGCAATAAGTTCATTTCAATACGTTTTGCAATAAACATTGAACCAGTCCGGCCCTCGACTAGTACCCATTTTTAAATGTTGGCCCACTCTGTATTTGAGTTTGACCCCCGTGGGTTAGAGGAACTGAGCAGCATTGATGGACACTGATGCATCGATGAGTTTAAACACTATTATCTCATCATCATCATACATACATCTTACTTAGTGTTTGCACTTTTTTTGGCCAATCCACCTCCACTTCCTGTCCCTCTCTGGAACTCTGCTGGTGCTGATGTTGACAGAGTGACTGAATATTGAGGCCTGATCCCCTTCTATCTTATTTTCATCCAAATGGTCGCACCATGAATTAGATGTTTCTCCAGACTTGATTAAAGCACTGATGTTTTCAAGAAAAAGACAAAAACAACAATGTGTGGCAGCACATTTATTCACTGGTGACAACAGAGTGAAACAAGACATTGCTCATAGACAGGGTTGGGTTGTAACGGAGTACATGTACTGCGTTACGTAATCAGAATACACAAATCAAGTACACTGTAAAAAAAAAAGTTTTTTCACAGAAGTGTACTGTATTATTTTATAGCCCTTTCTTGTTTTTCTATATTACGTGTAAATACCATAACAATACAGTAAATTACTTTTATTTAAAAATAAATAAAGGTTTTATTCTGTAAATTGGTTTGATGAGCAATTATCGTTTTTTTACAGGATAATTCCATTGTTTAATTGTCTTGAATGTTAAATTACATTGAATTCTATGTAAAAACGCATAAAATACACATAATTCTACTGCATGTAAAATTAAGGCAACTTTCTTTTTTTTGTTGCAGTAAAACCTTAAATTTAATGTAACAAAATGTAAAAAAATTAAAAATAACTATATTCTGTACTGTTGTAGAATAAAAAGAAATCTTATTATAAAACATCTCTAAAATGTTAAATAAATGTATACATCTTCACAACAAATGTAATATATTGCAGAAATACCCAAAAATGATTTTGTGTAAATAAAGTAGTTTTCATAGTATACTAAAATAGTTAACTGTAAAAAAAAAAAGTGTCAAATAAAAAAAACGTAAAATGTATGTAAAAAGCTACGGCACTTGAAATGGAATCCAGCCATACAACGGCAGACAACACAAGCAGGATTGGAATGAGTCCACAACACTCCTGATTGGTTGATATAAACGTCATCGAAAAAACCTGCCAATGAGCACTGTCAGAGCCTTTCAATCCAATTTGAAACTTCCACGTCAGTTTGAGTGGCTCTCCTGCGGAGCTACAGAGCTGTCTGTATGTCTGCTCACGAGTTTATGGACTAATATTATGGCGTTATATTTGTGCCTCTATCCTGATTACGCAATGAAACATGTTGAGCATAGAAAATGCTATTGAGCGCGCACTTGAACATTTTTGAGCACAGAGAAATATATTTTCTCTCATAAAACTCCTGCTCCGTGCGCAAGCAGACCGCTGCACGCGCTCTCTCTCCCCCGCTCGCTCGACCTCTCCAGCCTGTGCGCGCTCAGCTTTGCCTGCGCTCGCTCAAGTTGTCACAGCGTTACAAATGTGCCACAAAATCAACCAATCGGAGAACTCGAGAAGGTCAATTCTGATTGGCTGGTCGTCTCCAATCATATCTTCTATCTGAGATGAGAGAGGGATTTTCGGTTGCCATCAGACTGTTGACGTTCTTATTACACATCTATCGTTGACATTTACAGGACATGACAGACTCGAATGAAGAGAATAGCACGCCATAGTGTCAGGTGAGTAATACATTTCTAGTTTTCTGATATCATGTTATTGTTTGCAATGCCTGAGTTTGCTAGCCGGCAACATAGCTATAGGGGTAGTTTAAGCAAACCGCTAACAAACCGTAGCCTACATGTACATGAACCCTTCTGAGGAATTGATTACTTGCTGTAAGAATTAGAGGTGGCAGAATGACAAAACATGTTTCTCTCTCTATCACAATTTTGGGTTGACCAGAACCTGGACCAACTTCTGTTTCCTGTTCTACAATGGGCATAGAGCTTGCGCTCGCAACCGGACAGATGAGGCTAGGATACCGGATAAAGTTAGCAACACACGTTAACCATGAACAGCCTATTAATCCGTTCTCTTAATGTTATTTCTTCCAACGTTGTGGAATTAGAGAAAAGGGGCTTCTTAACGTGCTTTTATCTGGGGTGGAGGGAGTTACATATTAGTTAAATATAACATTGGGCGTGTGATTGTAGTGGGTGGAGGTGGTGAAATGAGGATATCCATCTTGGAGTTCAAGCTAGTATAATAGTTAACGAATGTTACACAATAATAAGGAAGAGAGCTATTTGTGTGATACATCGCTATTGATATGGATTTAGAGTGCATATTTGAGACTTCCAAACAGTAAACAAAAATGTAACTTATGGGCGAGTGTTTTTAGCAGAGCCATATAATGTCCTTGTGATTCTGTTGATTATTACCTGTCTGTATTATGTTGCAGCTCAGCTGATTTTGGATTGATGGCAAAGGGAGAGGGACTTAAGTGAGAGTGGAAACACATGGTACGTTTAAAATAGGTCAGCAATTCCCCATCCTATAGGTTGCTAGATGTATCTAACCCTTCTCCTGTCTCCCTCTTTCAGCACAAGAACCCCACAGGGATTCAATGGAGGCTGAAGACCTGCAATGAGACCCTCACCCTGCACCTGAGTCTCAACTCCCAGAGTTTTGCAAGCCTCTCCCTGTTCTTTATTTTGATTAAACAGACATTAAGCTTCCCAATGGTGTGGTCTTCGTTTTTGTGAAACATATTATTACCTCACATATGTTGTTGCTGTTGTTGTCTTTTGTGATAGTTAAATTGCTCCTGTTGACTTGAGCCAGCCATTCTTTCCTCCTCTCTGTGTCAGTGGGGAAACTTTGCATGTCCTTTCTCTGAGCGCTTGGAGCATCCCCAGGCAGCACAGCAAACCATGGGGGAGACGATATGCCAGGACAACACAGAGGAAAAGGCACAGACAAACGGCATGATATGCTATTCAATGTTTATTGAATTCCATTTATTTACATGGATGTTCCTAAAACAACACATGTAACATCATCATCATGCTGCTGCTGCTAGTCCTTTGACTCATTGTGCTGTCAGTTGACAATCATTGATAGGCACCTGAGGGTCTCCTGTCCTTTCTGAAAGTCATAAAGATTACATTAGTACTTTAGATTACTTGTGTCCTCAATTACCAGGGGATTACTGAAACCACCATGAATTAAAGAAATGGTAGAAATGTATCTAATCAGAATGTTGAAACCTTCCTTCCCTCCCTCTAAATATATCAATACACATTAGGATGTGATGCTCCTGACTACCATACAGGTTTAAGAAGATAATATTTGTTGTAAAGAATTCAAAGCAATAAACAACAGCAACAGGCTCTAACCAAGGCAACGTTAGCCAACGTTAACATGTATGTTAACAGGTAAGATAGCTGTTCACACTATGTATATTTTCTACTTTCTACGTTGTAATGCTGTTATTTCTATTTAAGATGTTTACATTTTTGATTGTTTAATTATAGTCTTTTAACTGTCTAATGTACAATGCCTCCTTGTCTTTTGCTGCTGCAGCGTAAACATTTCCCAAATTGGTATCAATAAAGTACTTCTTATTTTATCTTAATCCTCAAATATTAGCACATTTTACTTAAAAAAAACAAACACATTGATGTAACTACATACACATATCGATATGTTGTATACATATTGCAAATCAAAACCTTTATTGACCACTAATTACCAACAATTGCATTTCTATCCTGTTATTAATGCATTCAAATCGTGATTCAAATGGCCCGCCACGAACTTTCGGGAACTTTCTGAGTCTCTCTGAACCACGTGACGATCGAGCATTTTGGACTTCCGCAGTCGCAACTCATGGCGCTGGACCAGCCAATCAGAATTTACCTTCTCGAGTTCTCCGATTGGTTGGTTTTGTGGCACATTTGTAACGCTGTGACAACTTGAGCGAGCGCAGGCAAAGCTCAGCGCGCACAGGCTGGAGAGGTCGAGCGAGCGGGGGAGAGAGAGCGCGTGCAGCGGTCTGCTTGCGCACGGAGCAGGAGTTTTATGAGAGAAAATATATTTCTCTGTGCTCAAAAATGTTCAAGTGCGCGC